ATTTAATATATCCGCATTTGTCTCCTATTTTGTTAAAGAAAAAAAAAACTTTTAAGGCCTGTTTGGTTTCTTAGAAAGTTGGGGAAAGTAAAGTTAACATTCCTCGGATTTTAATTCTTAGAGAAATTAAGAGCCCGTTTGATCAAACTTAATTTGGGTCTGAAGTCTGAAATCTAAAGACTGAATCATAAGTAATGAATTGATTAAGTTTTTCGTGTTTGATAAAAACCAAAATCTAAACACTGAATAAAATATCTGAAATCTGAAGTCTGAATACTGAAATTTAAAGTATCTCGACTTATAATTTTATCTAAAAAAATAATTGATGTATATGAAACTATGATAACAATAATAATAATAATATTATTAAATAATGTTAACAAAAATATTTAAATTTTATTATGTTATTACTTTTTCAGTTAATAATAATGTCATATTTTATCATTGTCAAAAAAAATTCATATTTTATGGTAAAGATATATTGATCATGGAATTTAATATATTTTAATTTTTATTTAAAAATAAATATTTATTAAATAAAAAATAATTTACATAAATTTTTTTTTAGAACTAGACATGACAATTAATAAAAATATTTCAAGATAAAATATCAAAAGTATAAACATAAAAATAAATAAATAGAAAAAAAATCGTCTCAAGAATTCAGTTCAGACATAAGTGATAGGCCTATCACTTATTTTTAGGCTCACATTTGTACTAGAATTTCAGACCCACTTAATTTATTAAGATATCCTACTTTGAGTTATCAAACGCACTTAAAATTTAAGTCCTTAATAAATTAAGTTCTTAAGCAATTAGGTTGTTATGATAGTGTGTTATCAAACAGTGCTAATCAATTAAGTACTTAATTAATAAGTTTAAGTGCTTAATTGGTTTATCAAACATGGTCTAACACTGTACTTTACTTTTTGGTTCTTGAGAATATGATTTTGAAGAATATAAATACTTTCTTCTGTTTGGTTATATGTTGGAAAATATACTTGAATGTTAAAAAAAAAAAAAGCCTATAAGCCTCCCCAAAATATTCTTTATGAAACCCGATTCCAAATCTCGAAAAAATATACTCAAAGTCTAACTACACGAACAAGAACTTATTCACGTCATCTACTAGTATGTTGACTATATGTATACCTATGTGTTTGTATATTTAGATTTTTAATCCGTCAAACATGATTTAATTTTGAGTTAGATTAATCAAATTCAAATTTTATTTAATGTAATAGACATGAGTTTTTAAGTGTCAAATTTATTTACAACTACTATGTTATTATCACAAGTTAAAACTACTTTATAACTATCATAGTATTTTTTAAAAAATAATTTTTACAATATTTTGATATACCCTTAAAGATGTATTTAAAAAATCTTTTTCTCATTTTTACTCCTAACATAATCCAAATCCTATCTTTTAATTTTATGTTGAATTTTTTTTCGAACGATTTACATTTTTACTTTAGTAATATTAGTTATTGGTAAATTAAAAATTCATTTTATATTGATTAAAACATTATTTTGATAAAGTGTATAGTTTTTATGTGGTCAAATCAAATATTTTGTCAATTATAATAGTTTAAAAAGATAATTAATCAAATTGTAATAACTTTAAAAATATATATAAATAAATTAGATTAAGAAAAAATAAATAAAATATGAATGATATGAAAATGATAATAAAAAAAGTTATGGACAATAAAAAAAGAGTAAATATTAAAATTCAAAAAGTTGGGAATCATAATACCACCTCCAAAGTGAGGAATCATAATTCAGGAAACTTATGTTTATTTTCCTTGATTACAGATTTTTTTTTCCTTTCCCAAAAGTAAACAAACAAAGGAATTCAAAAATTAGGAATATGATTACTTTCCTATGCCAAACAAACACTTGAATATAAAAACAAGGAATCAGATTATTTTCCGGCCCAGAATCTGTACTAACCAAACAGGCCCTTAATGGAAAGTTATCATTCTCTTAAGGATTAAGGTTTAGGTACGAGTTTACCACTCATCAACAATTTAGATCCCTGCGAGTAGTAATACTTTTTCGGTCACAACATTAGATTAAACCATTTAAAATTTTATTTTTTAATTTATTACATATTCGATGTTAGAAATCATTGCTCCAATTTTTTTTTAAAAAATAAAACTCTAATTTTTAAACCATATGAGTACAGTGAGAAAACACGCAATTTATGCCTCTAGAAATTAGTTTGTACGTGGACTAAAACAGTAGCTCGGGATAGTTTAAAATGCTATCAAGAAAACGTTACAAAAATACTCCCTCCATTCCAAAATAAGTGTCGTTTTAGCAAAATGGAGAAGTTTCAAAATAAGTATCATTTTCAGATTCCAATGCATTTTTTCTCAAAAATTTCTAAACATACCCTCAAAAAAATAATATTATTGGTGAGCATTTATTTTAATGGGGTTGGTTGAGGATATTCTAGTAATTTAGCTACCATATTTAATGTTTTCTTAAACTGTGTGAAAACTTTAGAATGACACTTATTTTGGAACGGAGGTAGTAATAAAAGTTGAGTTTGGGGTCTCTACAATATAGCGCTGCTCCCTTAAGTGCTATTCATCTGATTCTAAAATACAAAAAGAATTAAACAATTGGGCCATAAATAGAAGAAAATAATAATTTTTAACACTTCACCGAAACGTAATCGTATTAAGGTTACTGTTAGTGTCGATTGTGTTTTGGCAAATTATCTGGTACACCCGGGGGTACAGTGTCCCTCCATGTGCGTGTACCTCACTTTCTTACAATAGCGTTAGTCCGCTGTATAATTCAGCTTTTTTTTTTTTGTTTTAACTCGGGGTTATAGAGTATTATTGATGGGAGATGGCCGACGACAATCGAGGCGTTGAGGCGGCAATGGGAGTCGGCGATCGTGGCATTGGAGGTGGACACGGCCGGCAGTGATCGAGTCGTTGAGACGGCGACGGCGTTCAACGATCGAGGAAAGGCTCCGATTCCACCAGAGTGGCGAAACGGTGATTGGATCGACAATATGCTTAGTTCAGATCGAGTGATGAGTTATGTCGTTGATGATTCCGTCTTGATGAATGCGGAATGTAGTGGTAGAAAATCCATCGAACAACCTTACTGTGCCAGTAAATCAACGCAAGGTCACAGTTCTGTTGTAGATCAGCTGGAATCAGGTAATGAATCAAGTTTTTTTCACAATTCTATTTTTGTTAATATGAAGTAGATAAGCAGTTATGCTGTGTTGGATATCCAAAATGTTTTTACTGGATATCCACTTTGTTTGTGCTGGATATCCAGCTTATGTGTACTGGTTATCCAATTGATACACATGCGTATCCAAATTTTATTTGCTGGATATCCAACATTTTTGAGTTGTTTATATTGAATTGGTGTTTTTTCACAGTTCGGAGTGTACTGTTTGTGAGAGAATAATCAATCAAGTTTTTTTCACAGTTCTATTTTTGTTAATATGAAGTGGATAAGCAGTTATGCTGTGTTGGATATCCAAAATGTTTTTACTGGATATCCACTTTGTTTGTGCTGGATATCCAGCTTATGTGTACTGATTATCCAACTGATACACATGCGTATCCAAATTTTATTTGCTGGATATCTAACATTTTTGAGTTGTTTATATTGAATTGGTGTTTTTTCACAGTTCGGAGTGTACTGTTTGTGAGAGAATAATCAATCTAGTTTTTCACAGTTCTATTTTTGTTAATGTTGTATGAAGTGGATAAGCAGTTATGCTGTGTTGGATATCCAAAATGTTTGTAGTGGATATCCACTTTGTTTGTGCTTGATATCCTGATTATGTCTATTGGTTATCCAACTGATTTACATGTTTATCCAAATTTTATTTGCTGGATATCCAACTGATTTGTACTGGATATCCAACATTTTTGAGTTGTTTATATATAATTGGTGTATCAAAGATTTTTTTTAAAATTTTTTGTTTTTCTGTTTGTCTCATTTTTTGTAAAAGAGCATATCAATGAGTTGGGGGATAATGTGATGCTGGATGATGCTTTGTGCATAGAAGTTACATCTGCTCTGAAGGGTAGGTTTTCTAACTTGCTTATATATGTTTAAATTTTTTTTATGATTTGTTTATCAATTGTGTTAATACTGATTATCCGACTACATGGTAATGGTTATCCAACCATCTCTTTTGTTTTTCTCAGAATGTGGAGAAGATAATAGCGGCAATGAATTGGGAGTTGATAATGTGATGTTGGAGGAGGATGCCTTGCACAAGGAAATTTCATTTGTGACGAAGAATAATGATTTGGCTGTTTTTACTTTAATTGGTAAGACGGCAAGAAGTGAGAAAGAAGCTTATGATTTGTATAATGATCATGCCCAATTGATTGGTTGTAGTGTGAGAGTGGGAAAACAGAAGTTTAGAGGTAAGACTGATAAAGTTAGGATGAAGAAGTTCTGTTGTAACCGCGAAGGATACAAGAGATTCAGTGGAAATGGTGATGTGTGCCATGACGGCGATAACCACTCTCACACTAAAACTTTATCAGTGTGGATAACCACTTTACAACTTCTGGATAACCACTCTACAACTTGTGGATAACCAGAATGAAATAGACGGATAACAAATGTCAGTATGATATAGATGGATAACCAGAGATTATGGCATGGATAACGATCACATAGCATACACAGGAAACCATGGATAAATAGTTCAGATCTAGTAGATACACAGAAGGATCCCAGAGTAATATACTTACCAGTGAAGCATGTATAGATGAAGGAGAGCTTGAGATGGCCGGACGTAGGGTTTCTCGCCGTCGTCTGTGTGTGTGTGGGGGTTTGCCCTAAAATGGAGAGTTTCCGTCGACTGTGTGTTTGTGTGTGTTTATGCGTGAGGATGAAATTAATGAAAACAACTTGCTGTGTACATTTAATGTAAAGGTAAAAACAGTTGAGCGCGTGGTGCGCGTGTGTTTGGTGGGGGGTATACGGTACACCCGGGTGCACTGGATACGGACTCTGTGTTTTATACATCAACATTAACATACAATATCATGATTTTAAAATTGGGAATGAAAAAGAAGGAAAGCAAACCTACTCTTTTCAGCTTGAAACAGATTCCTAAATAAATCAGTGAACTACCTTACTAAATGTATGCAAATCAAACTACTAATACAACCGCACACTTGCCTAGGAGTTAGAAGTAGAACTTCTTGAGGAACTCAAAAGTCAACTCCCCTCCCCTATAAGGCTTAGATTAAGGAGATCAAATTCCATTTAGAACTTCCTAAAAATGGAGATAATCAACATAATATCCAAAGAGCTAATCAAGCCATCATCTCCAACTCCATCTGATTGTAGAGATTTCAAACTCTCTTTCATAAGTCAAAGGATTCCTCATTCTTACTTCCCTCTCATCCTCTATTACCCTTCACCCCAAAACCTCAACCAATCAGAAACCTCAAAATGGCTCAAGAAATCCTTATCAAAAACCCTTTCTCATTTTTACCCAATGGCTGGAAGGATGAATGATCAGGGCTCAATTGATTGCAATGATGAAGGGATACTTTTTGTGGAATCCCGGGTTGATGGTAATCTCTTAGAACTCATAAATCATCCAGATGTTCAAATCTTAGAGCAACTGGTACCTTGTAAGTCAAATGGCATCTTATCTCATGCTAATGAGTTGCTGGCAGTTCAAGTAAACTATTTTAAATGTGGCGGAATCGCCGTTGGATTTTGCCATTCTCACCGGATCGGCGATGGCCGGACGTTGGCCTCGTTTATTTCCGGCTGGGCGGCCGAGACGGTGGCGGCTGCGCCCACGTCTTATAATACACTCATCCCGGTTTTAAACGCTGCATCCGATCTCTTCCCACCTCGGAATACTCTAGACTTCAGGCCGGCGTCGCGGCCCAGAGTGTTAGAGCCACCGAAGGAAAGACTTCTGACGAAAAGGTTCATATTTAGTCCTTCCACTATTGAATTACTTAAGTCTCAAGTAATAAGTTCGTCTTCTTCCGATGCCAAAGCAAAACCGAGCCGGGTTCGGGTCGTATCGGCTTATATTTGGAAATGTTGCATGGTTGCGGAAGGACTCGGGAAAACCGACCGGTCCGTGGCGTTTCATCCGGTTGATTTGAGAAGAAGGATCGACCCGCCATTGCCGGATTCTTCATTTGGTAACATTTTTCAGATGGCTTACGCCGAGGCGAACGGCGGGGAAGATTGGATGGATTTGGTGGGAATTTTGAGCCGTGCAATTGGGAAGATTGATGAAGAATATTTTAGCAAATTGCTAAGTGAGAATGGACATGAACTTGCAAAGAGTAATTTTGAGCAGTATGGGAAATATGCATTTGAGAGAGGTTTGCAAACGGTTAGGTTTACCAGCTGGTGTGGATTCCCATTGTGTGATGCGGATTTTGGTTGGGGTAAACCGATTTGGGTTAGTAGTACAAGTTATTCTGGTAAAAATGTGGTGTTTCTCTTTGATTCTATGTTATGTGATGGAGGGATTGAAGCATGGATTAATATGGATGCAACTAAGATGGACAAACTTGAGGAAGAGTTGAATATGGTTGGTGGTGAATGAAGTTAAGTCTTAAGCATAATTTACTTTGTCTCAAAGAATTCATCATATTATTACCAAAAAAAAAAAAAAAGGATTCATACATATTAAAATCTGCAGCAGTTAAACGGTGACTGGATATATAGTCAGTATATCTCAATCATGTGATGGGTTGATTTGAGTTTTTAGACTTCTGTATGAGTATATGTATCTTGAAAAAGTAAAAAACAAAAATTGTTTCGGCCATTGATCTCCTGATTTGTACAAAAGAAACAAGAAATTACGAGATTTCACTTTTGTTTACCTTGGTTACTTAACTGATGTAAAGAATTCTCCTTCTCTTTCAATTCAGGATTTGGGTGGAAGAAAAAAAAAAGCAAAAAGAAAAGAAAAAGAAAAAGAAAGCTACAAGAACTACAAATGCATGCATACTCCTCATGATCTCTAATGACGAATAGATTATGATTAATTAAGAAGGCCAGTCTATATATCACTTTCTAAAAAGCAATCATGAGTCATTATTTGATATTTTATCATCCCAAAATTATTATGTGATGATTGTCTTAAAATTAATACAACAAATAAAATAATCATCACGAAGTATATATATGCGACTTTCTGTCAGTATGATAAGTCATCGGTTCGTCCTATATCTATACAGAACTAATGATTTAATGTTCTCTTAACTTGGTAATCAAGTATTATTTATAATTTTTAGTACAATTTGTTACTTCATCTGTCCCAATATAAATGTTTTTATTTAGATTTTTCAATTTTAATACAATTTGTACTAAAAATAAATTATGCAAATTGGACATCATTTCATTTCGGGATGGGAGGAGTATTAAATTGATTTAAAATTTTCCCTTCACAAATGGTTTTTTCTTCCTTAAAAAGGAAATAACATAACTTGTATAAATTTATTCGAACTAAATAATTTTATCACATCTTCGTGTTAAACCATCATATGTATGCAGCCGGCCATTATGTACGCATTTCTCTGCTTTCAGTTTCATAGAGTTGTCATACAACGTAACATGATATGGATATGATGAATACATATGGCATTTTGCACTTTGTAAGTTAGTTCACATTACGAGTGATTAGTAACTTCAATTATTGACTAAAAGATCAGGTTAGTTATTGTCGTGTAAACTACTATTTTAATTAAAATTTATTTAATTAACATATTTGCTGATGTATATAGGCCACATTGTTATTGTCTCGATCGGATTCGACGATTCTGCGTTTGTCGGATGAGTTCACAAGTGAAAGGGAAGAGCTGACAACGATTTAGTGGTCCAAATTCAACTGTTTTTGTTTTTACTTTGTTTTGTTTCTGTCTTTGAAACTTTCTAAAATGGATCAAATTCTAGAAATAGAATTATTCAAATATTAAGCAAAACTAGTATGGAGAGAACTGGGTCAGGCGATAATTATCACGAAGCGGTGAGCTCAAAGCCTTGTTGAACCTATCTGATTTGGTTTGGTTGGGAAGGGGGAGGGAATGAAAGTGCGTTAACTTAATATTCAAAACTTAGCATCTCTAATACTACTCTGTCCTAAAAAATTTCACAATTAAATTTTCATATTTATACTGTTTTTTACACAATTTTCAAAGGACAAAACGTATTTTTGATCCCTAAACTTTGGGAGCTCACAACTTCAAGTCACCGTTAAATTTCGATTGACGAAATTAGTTTACGTCTTTCGTTTATTCACTAATTTTAGTCAACTTAACGGAATTTATGGTCAACTAACAATCAACTCTTTTCTCCGTTAATTTTTAATATTTTATTAATTTTTTACTGAATTGAGCCCGCAATATATTTTCAAACAACAAAATCAATCCCCTAATATCTTTTTTTTTTCCAACAATTTTTTCATTTTAACAGAATGTTCAAAAACTTAATGGTCCAATTTATTTTTCAGTTAAATCTTTATTTTTTTGATTGATTTTTTTTTTTCAGTTAAAAACTTAATGGAGTGGGTTCAATCGGTCTTTGATCAGATTTTTTTTTTAAAAGATAAATTAAAGGAATAATGAAATTATTTCCGGCCAACTTCCTAAACCTCAATATTTTACTCGCTGATGTTTCACTATCACTTCCTTGCTCGCAAAGTAGCCCAAAAAGGAGTCTCATTATCGATCATTTTCGTTGTTGGCTTTTTTTTTTTTTTTAATTTACTTCTCGGGTAATCTAATTCAATTGCCATCCCTCTTTGTTTGAGTCACCTCTTTCATTATCTCTTTTTTTTTTCCCTTAATTTCGATTTTATCTCAAACATTTTGTTCTTATTGCAGTAGTCTATCTCTGAATATTCTTTGTTCATTCTTGAATTTTCACGTTTTCTTTATCTTAGTTTCTGTGACTTGGTACGAAAACTCTGAAAAAGAATGAACAGAGCATATTCATAGTCGGCCGAAAATACTTTCATTATTCTTTTAATTTATTTTTTTTCAAAATTTTTTTTCGATCAAAGACCTATGGGACCCACAATCCATTAAGAAATCAATAAAAAAATAAAAAATTAACGAAAAAATGAATTAGGCCATTAAGTTTTTGAAAATCCCGTTAAAGTGACTAAAATTATTAAAAAAGATATTAAGGGACTGATTTTGTTGTTTGAAAATACATTGCGGGTCCGAGTTCAGTAAAAAATTAATAAAAATTTAAAAACTTAATGGAGAAAGAAGTTGACTATTAGCTGACCATAAATTCCGTTAAATTGACTAAAATTGTTGAATAAACGAAAAGATGATGACCAAATTCGTTAGTCAAAATTTAATGGTGATTGGAAGTTGTGACTCCCAAAATTTAGGGGCCAAAAGTACATTTTGTCTAATTTTAAAATTTAACGAATACTATTTTTTGGCAGAAGTAAAATAATTACACCCAATTAAACAAATTAATTTTGCATTACAATTTACCTTTAATGGTAAATCAGGACTTTAAATATAAATATAATACCTCATGTTCGTTTGATAATGAGAACAGTAATAATTTTAAATTTTCAAACATGATTCTAGTTTAGAGAGGTTCGTAATTTCTTTCCACCTGTGTTGGATCATAATGTTGGATCATGTCAGTATGACTCGTATCATCTCTTCGTTTAAAATTACTTGCGCAAATTTGGACATACAGTTGAAAATTGTAGGGACTTTTGTCCTAAAGAGATTACATTAATCTTGTTACACCGTTTCTTACATGACGACAGAACAGAGAAATTATTGCTGATAGGGTCTATGAACTCGAAAACCCCTTTGAAATGGTGTCTTGCAACAATGCAACTGAATCTACCACGGATTTTGTCAACCAACTAATCCCAACTTTTACCCTGTGCTCGTCGGTTGGCAATCTTATTAAGTAAGCAATCTTCCTTGCTGCAACATAGAGTTGTTGAAAGCAGATCAGGGAAACAAACGGGAAGCCTTTGAAAGCAGATTTTAGACGAGAAGACACCAAAGGTTGCGCTTATTTTACCTGTATGACCGATGGGACCTTCAAGTGTTAGCCCTTCGATAAAGCTTGGTGTAATAGCAGCATCATATCTCCCAAGAGTCATCATCTCACCTAAATTTTGAAACCTGCAGCGTGAAACCAGATAAGTCACATCAGGGGTCTGCTTTGCAAATGAACCGTGGTTACCACTCAACCACGCTAGAGGAGAAAGGCAACGGCATAATTTTTTTTTGCAAGAGGTTAGCTCTTATGTGCTGTGCAGATGTACTTGAGGAACTTTGTCACAGTAGACAATCATTACAAATATACATGCGGTCGTAAAGACGAGAGAGTTCCTGACATCTCTTCCTTTAACATAGGATGCATCTATTTTTATAACTGTGTCATCATTAATTTACTTATCATATACTCCCTCCGCCCTAAAAAAATAGTCCGTGAGGTTGATTTTTTTTGGGACAGAGGGAGTACGTTTTGAGTTTCACAACTAGCACATCATCTAAAACAGGTGACGGAAATTTAAATTCCTAAACTATATCAAAGGGAAATCTGAGTACATAGATAACTGATGATGACAGCCAATACAAAAAAATTTCATAACCAGAAAGAGAGAACTGTCCACTATCCTAGAGTAGCTAAGCATTCTTTTCCAGATGATATCAAATCTTACCGAAATGGTAACAGCGGTCTGTCATTGATGGCAGCCCATATGTTCCAACCAGCAAAATCTGCTTGCTGAAATGCCACCTATGAATATTTAACAGCAACGAGAAACCTTAAGAGGCATGTATTGGAATTACATCTTCTCTCTTTTCAAGATAGTAGAGGCAAATGGTTGATCAACATTTAGACTATGTAACCACTAATATACAACTCTAACAAAAGATAAACATGTAAATTGAATGAGACTAAATCAAAAGATATGACATATTCTGATGCAGGAATGGATCTATTAACAAGTGCAGAAAGATAAAGGGCGGTTGTTTCAGCAGAAAATCCAGATATGAAAACAAGGACATTTTTTTAAAAAATCCAGACATGAAGACAAATACAGTCCATTTCAGATGAACATATTTGAACCTCTAATATAGTATCATGTGGAACTGCTAAAGATGTCTTCTTGTTCCCATGTCTCATTTTTAATTTCCTTCTTGACAAGGATGTGCCACAATTAAGGACGCAGAATCACCATCATACCTGTGCAGTAGCTGGGAGTACTTTTCCACTGCTGTCTCTAAACGCGGAGGAGTCACCTACAGCAAAAATACGCGGGTGACCCCTAACCCGAAGTGTCTCATCAGTTTCTGCTTGACCCCTTGCATTGAGAGGAAGATCACGTGGCTTGTCAGATGAGTCTAATTCGAGAAGTAAAGGTTTTGTTCCAACAGTCCATAAAACCAAATCAGCCTCCAGAGTTTGACTTTGCATACCCCTCTCAGCAGGCTGTAACTCCAATATTATGTGCTTACGAGTTTCTGCTGTTTCTATATCACCACCTCTAGAATTTTCTACTTTTCTGATACAACGTACGAAATATCCCAGCAACAGTTTAACATTCCTGGATGAGAGAACCTGAATGGTGCAGAGTGCCATAGATTTGCAATTAAAAGCAGTTAGGACAGTTTTTTTTTTTTTTTTTTTAAATGCAGTTAGGAAAGTCTCCAGATAAAAAGGAACAAAATGTACCACAAGAAGCTGACACAATGTTATTTTCTTGGCGAACAGGATCAGTTATGCAGCATTCAAATGACATATATATACAGAAAGAAAGAAGTAGCATGCTTAAGACCCATTCTTAATTATCGGCTGATTTGATACTAAAGAATTTAAGATGTTTCCTAAACAGGTTCTGTGGGTACAATTGATTCACAGCCTGCCTCATCAAAATCACATAATAATCCTCTGATATCCTGAAAGAGCGGCTAGAATGCTAAGATATCTCTTTTTACTCTCACGTCTACTCTGCACAATATGAATACCTAGTAACAGTATCTTAAAAATGTTAGGCTTCCTACTCTAAGTCTAAGGTGATTGTTTACAGTTAGATACTTTTAAAACCTGATATCTTCAACGCTTGATAAATCAAAAGCAGACGGATTGAAAAATAATGACCAGTATCCTATCCTTGCCACGCTAATCTTCCCAGCACTGTTCTAGTTTTATCAGATGTCCCTAATGGGATATGATACTACTATAACTAACAACTATGGTGAACATTAGAACCTCAAAAGCCCCAACGATTGAAATATTGAACAGTACTCTCTTATAATGTATAGCCTTTCTATCAACCTATCTATGTTCCATATGAGACCAAGACTTGATAAGGGGATCATGCCTAAAATCTATACTATGAAAAATCAAATAATAACATAAAAATGGAGCTGGAGAAAATGCAATGAGTTGAATAGTTAAGCAGAATATCCCATAATCATTAATGATTAGACACATAACAACCAGCAGCGCCTAGTAATGACATGCTGACAATCATCCTCACCCTATTTACTTAAGAAAAGTTTTTTTTGGAACTCTCTGATTGCCTTGTCAGTGATCGCTCCACCTCCTTAGCTAAAATAAAAAACTAGGTGTACTTTGCCGTGACTTTCAACCCTGAAACAACCGAACTCCAGCAACTATTTACTAAAAGGGGGTAATTTAACACAAGCCATAAGAGGACATATGTCCTCAGATGTCAGATTTAATTGATGTAACTCATGTGCTTAAGGCTGGACCCAGATAGCGAATAGCAATGTCCCTATGTTTAAATTTGATTAATTCATTCATTGACTAAAATACTAATATTATCATATTTTTGTTTTGAGAACAGAAGGAAGGAAAAGAAAAGAAAAGAAGAAAGAACAAACGAGGAGCTATGGTCATAAGTTTGATTGAAATGATCTTTAAGCTAAAAATTTGACATACTAGTCAGAAGGAACAGTTTGTGCTTGGTGAATTCTGAGAATGGAAACTTTTTTCTTACTTTTATTGCAGCTTCTCTGTTTCCAGCAGGAGCATTTGGCATAATATTATTGTCCACATTAATTGCTTCTACAATTCCCTTATCTTGCAGTCTTTCTGATATTGTTGCAGCTAACTCAACTCCAGAATAACCACATCCTACCACAGCCACACGTATTGGGAAGTTCTTTCCGAAATTTTGCCGCTCCAATGCTTTAAGCTTTTCATCAACCTTCTGAAAATAGCACAAAACCGAGACAGAGAACCTTTTACTATGATTACTCTACAGATTACCAAAAGTAACCACAGAATGAGTAACTTTTAGAAGCTCAATACTAACACAAGCATCTTCCAGAGTATAAAATGGCAATGCATACTCAGCTGCACCTGGAACAATATCAACTCTTGGCTCAGCTCCTAGTGCAAGTACCAACCTGGCTGCCCAATTACAAAAACTATTAATCAGAACAGTCAAAATAAAGTAATTAATACCATCAAGAACCGGACATGAAATGCTTGGATACCATCAGGAACCAAATGAATTAAGTTTGATACATTAACTACACATGTGGGAACTACATCATCAGAAAATTTTGAAGAAAAGTGTATACCATAATGATAGGAGGACTTTCAGGAAATCAATTGAAAACAAGAAGATTCAAAGCTGCCAATAGAAATTGGGTGCTAAACTCTTATAGATAGCTTAATCAAAATTAGACAATCAAAAGATACATCTACAAAATGCTGACAAGGAAAACATCTGACTCTGTGCTTCAGATTTACCTCTGAAGGTACATTCTAATTCTGCAGTTCCATTAATGAAAATCGAATAATGACATTGATAGAAAAGGGGATAAACTGGTAAACTATGTGAATTTCACCTCCTCAGGAAGATAAGAACAGACTGAAGACTGAAAATTTATAATTGCTCTCAGTTAATTTTAAATGTATAATCAGAGAAATGTTTATATTCAGTTAAAGAATTTTCGTTCATTTTTTAATAAAGATAAATATGATTTTGTTAGAGTGGCATGGTTTACAAAAGCAACTTCCCAACTGGCAACTACTCCAACTTAATTCAGCCTTTGGCAGGTATCATATAAATGTCAAATAAACTCAAACATATACCAGTCATATTCGATAGAAAGGCCACTTTCAAGATGGACTGTTCCACTTGATCCAGAGACTGTCTGCCCTGACATGCCAAAATGGTCAGATGGATGGAGAGATTTGATACGGTCCCTGAAAAACTGCACGCTAGTGTTTGCAAGCAAATCTGAAAAGCATGGAGCTATTTCCCATGGGTCGACTTCTGTATGAATGAGATTTTGTTGCAGTCAGATACATATTCCTCATTCATAACCATAAACAGGCTACAAAGCCTTTTTAATGACTCTGAGGTTTTAGAACTTCATACCTCCAGAAAGTAGCTCATATAACAATGGCTTGAAAACAAACCGCTCTGATTGGTCAACAAGCACAACCTATGATTTCAAAAAGTATTCATCCTAAGCAAAAATTGGAAGTTGAGAGATATAATTCCAAAAACAGTGTACGGAAAGAACAAAAATGCAGCTATCAACAATGGGATGCAGTATGAAGACAAAAAAAAAAAAAAAAAAAGTCGATTCCATATTCTTGTGTGGATTTAAATTGGTATACAATCTAAGCCCGATCACCTTTTCTTGGTTCTCTAATATCTGTAGAGTCTCTTTCAGTCTGTAAGTCAAACAGCTTCTTTTTTAAAGAAAATTCTGTAAAGTTAAATATTCTTCCATCATCAATACTTCCTCATTAAAAAAATTCTACAAGTTAAAATTTTCATTTATAGATGCTTACTTGCTTAGGTTAGTAACACATAGCGCAGCACTAAGATAGATAATAGCGAATTTAAAAATGACACATAGGAGTGGTAGCTTTCTTTCAGATAGTGGTTTTAGGGCACACCGCAGCTACATTTCTAATACTGATTTTTAAAGCTTCCTGCAGCTCTATTCAAAATTTAAGATGCATTTCAACGCATTAGAGCAGCTCACTAAAAGAGAAGAAATATGGCAAATCAAAAATTGATTAATCAGAGTTTCAGCAAATTTCCTAAAGTAACTTTTAAAGTATGTTTCAGCTTCTTTTAGACAATTGTTATAGTATACTGTAGCTGGCCAGGTTCTCATAGTTTATCACTTCCTAATTTCTATAAGAAAATGCTTTGTTTTTTCTTTTGAGAAAATAAGAAAATTCCTTTAACAGTTACCTGAGGTTTCTTTTCATCTGGCCAGACAAGTGACTCTAGTCTTAGAGCAGTGTAAAGGCCTCCAAAACCACCTCCTAAGATACAGACTCTAGGTCTCTGCAAGCATCGAAAACAATATTATGATATGTCCAAAACCCGAAATAAAAAAAGAGGAACTGTTTCATGTGTATACTGCACTCAAATGAGCATGCTATGGAGTACTAAGACATGACATTGGCAGCTTTGCCTGTACGCAGCCATAACTTATATCTCTACGCATCTATGCATTCCAAAGACTTTAAACTAAAGAAAAGTTAAAAAGACATTCACTTGCTACCGCAAGCCATAATTTTTCTTCACTATCTTCCATTAAAAGTCACAAACACAATGGTTTAACGGAGAGAACTAATGAATTTTGTGAGAGAGCACATGCGTTAGGCCTCAATGGCCCAACTTCAGGTGGAACACATGCAGGAGTTCTCTGCAATGTGCTGCCTTTTGTTTGTCCCATTTTCTCCGTAACAACACCAACATATCTAAGCCTCCCTCCGTCTCCAAAATTATTGTCCAGTTTGGATTTTCATATTTAGCATAAATTGAACTAAAAATTGAAAATCCAAAGTGGACAATAATTTTGGGGAAAAGAAAGAATCATTTAAGGCTAAGCACATCGAAATTCCTCAAAGTTTATCACTGGTTACGGCTACGACACTACATGCACCATAAAAGCTACTTTTTCTTTCCCTCTTCCATTAAGGAACCACAAAATTAAATCCAAAGAAGAAAAAAAAAATAGGTATAGACAGCAAGCTTCAATAAATATACCGTGTATAAACTGTAAGGCCAAAAAACTCCCCAGTAAACCATGCCAATAGGGAAAACAAGGAATAATTATTCTAATGCACCTCTAGTACTGTGTCCAGTTCATGAGATAGTCATCCAGCCAATGATCAAATAAGAAAATACTGTAGATGAAAATTAAGTTAAACCTTCCGGTCAGGCCACTGGTAAACCCGAGGTTGTGCTTCATCTTGGGAAGGAAAATCCACGCCGCCCGTAGAATCATAACTCCGTACTGAGGTCCGGAAATGAATCCGCCTGCCACCAATACTTGAGAACTGAAAACTACTGTTCCCCAATTTCCCCAATTCCATAGAATTTCTCCGATATAGCTTGCCGAAACGGAAGTTTCCCCCTAAGAGAAAGAATCAAGCAGACTTTCAAGTTTCAAAATTCAAACAAATTTCTAGTTTCATTTTCTTTTTAAATGAAGAGAAAAAGGACGGTCGGAGCTCACCGCCATTGATAAATGCAAGAGCTTTTGAAGAAGAAAGTGTCGCCGCCGGTGCTGCTGCCGCCATCGCCGTCTAGACTCTAGACAGACAAAATTGTAAAGATTACAGCTCCTTGCCGGAACTTTTAAAATGGCGTCATTGTTAGCTGTTTTATTATGTGGTTTGCTCTATTCCACGTTTGACCATATCAAACGACGCCGTCTTAGATACGAATAGGCTCCGTTCCCGCCTTATAGCCCTTTCACCCCCGTATATAAATTACAAATATTGTCATGAGCTCCGCCGCGACGCCATCACTCCGGCCGCCGCCGATGACAACCACGGCGTCGTTGGGACCCTTATTCTACACCTCAAGAATTGGAGACCATAATCGACGATTACAACCACTTTTTTGGGACAGTACCACCGAAAGGTACTATCCTCAATGCTTCAACTCAAGTACCATTTAATTCTCGCGATTTTTTTTATTTTTATTTTTTTTGTTGATGGCAATGGTTTCGATGAAGAGAAATTGGTGGAACCAGAGTTTGCAGGATATGGCATTTACAAGGAGTTGAAGAGAGTGATTTGGGTACAATTACAGTGGCCTCAAATCTTGATTGCCGGAGGGGTTTCGAAGTTCATAAGATGGCAATTCCAATGGGCAAGACAATAGAACTGCAAGCATGTTTGTTCAAGGTCCAATTTCTGGGATTCATTTATGTGTATGCTCTCTCTTTTTTTTGCGCCATGCTTTTCTACTTGGAGTTTTTAGATTCCTTTCATAGCATAGAAGATCTAGAAGTGCTGCCTGATAGGCTTGTGTAGCAAAGCATATGATGTTCCCCATGGTAACGTTTTTAGATTGTTTATACGGTACATTCAGTAAGTTTTCGGTTGGCGCGACATCACATTTGGATTGTAATCACTCTGATTCTTCTTCACATAATTCTGTCATTCAGTCATCTGTGTTCCACACTTTACAAGTACAATTACATTTCAATGTAGCTCCTTCATTATTTGCATAGTGTTCCATTTTGTTTTTCCCTTCTTTTCTTAATAATCATGTCATGACGCACCTAGCTTGTCTGTAACTTTGCTACACGTACGAATCTCTCTCTGCAACTATGAGATCGATGACGGTATCCTGGTTTGATTTGTATAAGAGTTGCTTGCGGTTTTTTTGGATTCAAAAGCCTGTGAAATTCTGTCTGCTTTCATTTTTTTACTTGTGTGTGCTACCTTAAGTTGTGACATTCCTACCTTATTTTGCACAAAACATTCTGGTGGAATCAGCCTTATGTTATGCAGGACTAATATTACCCCTGATTGTTTGCTTTGTAGATTTGTTATGGCCTTACTAATTGGGGGAATGGCTGCTACAGACTTTGAATGAGTCTTTCCTCCCAAAGCTCATAATACACTATAAGCTAGGATGCAAGGTTATCTCCTAGTGGCTTAATAGAACTCCTTGCCAGGTTCATGACTTTTCTCATTGACATACACGGTCCAGAAACAAGCTTAATTTCTTGGTCTCGGGGCAATAAAGTTCTCGGACTTTGTTGGACAATGCTGATCCGCCACCACATCTCCAGCATGTTCCTTGGTGAGTAGCTTGTGCTTGATTGTTTTTTGCAGAAATCCTGAACCCTCTCCATATTAATATCTGTTGTGCGACATAATCTTTTTGGATATGATAATAAATGTACTAATTTAAGATTGTTGTTGAGCCTCAAAAATAGGGATATCTACAATCCTAATTGGTAGATCAAGTTTCACAGTACATGGTCTTTAAAAAAAAAAACAGCAATTTATATATATTCCAGGATAAAGTTTTGCAATTTGTTTGCTAATTTTTGAATACATTTAGGCCCCTTAGGACTTGAGCTTGCAACAATCTCTCTTTCCTGAGTGGCTTGTGCTTGATTGTTTTTGTAGAAATCTTGAACCCTCTCCATGAATATGTCAGCATTGTTGTTAATCTCACGGGACGAGAGAATTTCTGCGAGATACTTAATTCTCAACAAGTTCAACATCTCCGTATCGTGCTTTGCAACTCCAGTAAATCCCGGGTTCCATCCTGGATGGCCTTTATATATTTCCTTGTGTCTCATGGTGTATACACCACAGTCTGTACGGTTCCAATTATTCTGCCATTTCAATTTCAGGACTTGGGTTTTAGCTTCATTTTCATGCCGGTGGAGATTATTCGTGTCCATGTATGAATCAAAAGCTCTTTTCAGATTCTCGACGGGCTCGTAGTGCGTTCCCATTCCGTTGTCAATCACGTCGTTAGTATTTGTCCTGCTATTAATGCATATGACGAAGAAATGATCAGCATGGAGTATTGGGAAGAATATCAATAATCCTGGATTTAATTAAGCTCCTCTGTATAGAATTAAGCCTCAACTCCTTGTCAACTCTTGTATTAAAATTGGACTGTCTCTCCGTTGGGGTTTTTTCTGCATTTGAGTAAAACCGATAAGGGAGTGTGGAAAAATAGATGCAGTCTCGTGTCTTCATGGAATTCTTAAGATTGTGTTGATTCATTCTCACACTCCAAGCGTCAATGATTCCGGTCACTATCCAATTGCCAGGTTCCATTTTCCTGAGACACTCTCTCTTACAGCTCGTAAATCCTGTATGTTGATAAACTACTTGCCCAAGTGGGTTTGTGGAACAATTTTCTCTGAAGATGTAATCAGATACCAGTTTCTGAGTTTCGGTCGTTTCTTTGTGGAGTTTCTTTCCTTTGTTTTTAAGTCAAAATTGCGATTTTAATGTTATTGGACCAGGAAAAAAAGGCACCTGAAACCAATGGATCTGCAGCACTAGATTTGCCTAGTCCTGTTTTGGTTTATAAAGGACAAATCCTTTTAGGAGATTGAACATTATTATAATTTGGAGATAGAAGAAATTATGGACTCGCTTCTTGCTGTTTGTTGTGCGTAGCAGGAGAGAACAAATCTTATATAGACAGATTTAATCAAATCCCAGCTGCCTCAATAATCAATTCCCAGTCGTGCTCAAAAACAGCATATTGATTTTGAAATTGCTTTCTCGCCAAATCACTCATTATCTTTTCGAATTTCGACATTGATGCTATGAAATAAGAGGTCTTGATAGGAGTGGCGTTGATCGCGACGAGATCAGAAATCTTATTAGTAATCCAAAAAATCAACAAAGTGTGTTCACGCACTAATAAGGAATCCCTTTTTCCCCCCAAAAATTGAACACATTAAAAAGAAATTTTGTGAAGAGAAAGACAATTTTAACTTATAAAATTATCCCTATTTTTATAAAAGAACCACTTTCAATCATATTCCAATGATAAAGCAATATTTTGATTGGCTGAGAGACTCTGGATGATATCAGCGATATTAAGTTCGGGTATTTCAGACATTAAATAAACTCAAATTTCCAACGGCTTAAAAAAGAAAAAAAAAAAAAACACGTCAAAACAGCCTAAGATATTTCCGGCAAACAACAAACTTAGGAGGTGTTTGTTTGATGGGATTCAAATTCGGATTTAGTCTAATTGTTTGGTTAGTTGGATTCGGATTCAAGGAATTGGATTTGGAATGTGTTTTTGAATCCCACCTCCCCCTTATGGATTCGCCGGATTCGGAATCGAATCCTTTTAAAATTATTTTTCTTTTTTCATCTTTTTTTTTCTCTTTCTTCTTCCTCGTTGAAGTTCACTGTCCCGCCTCTCCTCTTCTATTTTCACTCCTCCTCCTTCTCTTCCTGTATGCAGTATGAAATCATTATTCTTTTTTCCTTTTCTTCTATTTATGAAATCGTCTAAAAATTCATTTAATTTTTTCATTTTTTTCAGCCTTTATTTTTTAGGCTTTACTCCATGAATGATTTTCACCGATTGAAATGATGTAAACAAAGATCTAGATGTTTAGCCGGAATTGGGGTACAAACGATGATGGTGGTGATTGTTAATAGATGGTGGGTATGGTGATAGTGCTGCCTTATGTTGGCGACAATGGGAAGGATTGAATTAAACTAGATCTAGGTGTATAGCGGGTTTATGGGTGTAACTGATGATGGTGATGATTGCTAGTAGATGAGGATGGAGAGGTGGTAGTGGTAGTAGGTGTTGGCGGCGGCGGCGGAAAGGGAGTACTGGAGCAGACGCGAGGAGAGGAGAAAGGAGGAAGGAGAAGGTGAAAAAATAATATATACTAAGGCCATAAACTCTACCGATAAAGCAAAGGCCATAGCCGAAAAGTACGATTTCCCAGTAGATCTAGAATATTGAGCACCTTTAGGCAAAGAAAGGGCTACTACTCCTCCAGAGGAGAAAATAACTGTATATGATACGTTCATATTTTTAGGACTAAGATTCCCCCTTTACCCTCTGTTTGGAGATATAGTTCAATACTATAAGATTCTCCTTGCTCGATTTACACCAAACTTAATATCGGCAGTCCTCGGATTTTGCGAGGTTCTGCGAGTTGAAGAAGGTTGAACCTCGATTACTCGTGTGGAGGTATTTTTTCAAAGTCTGTGTCCCCTCGACGAAATACAAAGACTGGTATAACGTAAAGAAGAATCTCAAGTCAGGTGCGAAGCAGATAATAGAACTCTTCGACGGTTCTCAAGTGTGGAAACCAAATTATTTGTTTGTACATGCTCCAGAGGATTTTTGCGTGACCTGGGATTATCGTGAATCCCAGGAGATGGGTGTTGTAGCGGATGTCTGGACTAAATCTGACAAGGCCAGGATCGAGCAATATAGGGACGACATTACTGCTCTGCAATCCTTAAAAATTATCTCAAATGGACAAAAGTGCAGCAGTATATTCCCCCAATTCCTATCAAGGATAAAAAAGGTACTAACTCCTCTTGTGTATTTCTTTTGTTCTAGGCTATGTTGTTGAGCAAGAACACCGTTGGCTTGTTTGGTGACTCCAAGATTTTTGACATTAAAAATTCAGATGATGAAGGATCTTCAAACAAAGTCAGCAAGAAGAGTAAGCTGAGGAGGCTAGTGAAAGCGTTAGAAGCAGGCGCTAAGTCAAAAAAGAAGAAGCAGACTCCTGCAGTCGAGAAAGAAGGGCTAGTCGAGGAAGATAAGCCCATCGAGGAAGATAAGCCTGTCGAGGAGGGTAATCCTATCGA